TTTACCAGAGGCCTTTTTGATGAACGTTGTTTTAGCTTTGTTTAGGGGCAATCCATTATTCGTGTTGGGAAAAGCGTGGTTCTTTAGGGGCAGTATACTGACTGAACCTTGCACCTGTTTCTGGTTCGGACTGTTCCCTACTTATTCTTCTGGTGGTTACCAGGCAGAAGCACACAAGAAAAAACACAAACCGGAAATCCGGCGCGTCTCTAAGAGAGCTTCCCCAAGCGAATCCACCGGGCCAGCCTTCAGGGCAGATCTGTTGGCCACCCAGGTATTGGCGCCGCTCGGCCTGGGGAATTGACCCTGAGGGACAGCCAGGTCCTCCAGTAGAGAGCTTAGAATGAGGGTGACTACTGGGGAAAAGGGCACTACTGGGGAGCCGAGACAGGTTTTTTGCCAGATCGACGCACGCAACAGTCGCATCGACAAATTCAGGGCACACTCCCGACCAACTCCCCCGGTCCTTGGGGCAGCAAATGTACGGGTGCGTCCTGAAATCAGCCCACCTGGCATCCGGTCAACGCCCGCAAGTCAATTTTCCTGTTGGGTTTTGTTCTACTACCAACAAACGGGGGGCATCCCCAATTTAGATTTAGGACAGTCCCAAATGAGGTTTGTTGGAACCCACCCCTAGTGCATGTTTATTCACCAACCCACAGCTTGAGTCAGTGAGGCGAGTGAGGTGAGTGAGGCGAGTGAGGTGAGCGGCGTGAGTGAGGTGGTGAGGTGAAGTCTGTGCCGTAGCGGGACCCTGCCTGGAAGGCGCCATCCCTCCCGTCTTCTCAGAGACCACCCCCGACTAGGTCCTCCAGTAGAGAGGTTAGATTAGGGTGCCCTTTTTCTGTAGTCTATGTTAGTAGGGGAACCCTCCCCCAAAAAAGGGTAAAAGGGCACTACTGGGGGACCTAGCCATCATCTTGGAACTACGTTCAAGAGGTTGGTAACATCGCCTTCACGCAAAGCCACAATAATTCGGCAAGCGCGCCACCCGCCTGCCGAGAAGCAAATATTTCCCAACAGGCCGGCATAAGGGCAAGATAGCGTGACATCCTTGTGGAAGCCTCATGTGATAAGGCTTTGCGTCGGGCAGCGCGCCGCCGTGCGCCAGTAATCGCAAGCACGCTTTTCCGCAGACCCCTCTGCGGACACTAGGCGCCAAGCACGGACCGTTTGCGCCCAGAACCCACTCATGACCAACATGTGGCCATCGGTCAAAATCCCGTAATTACCCCCAGTAAACATCCCAATCCCCATAAAATAGACTAAAATGGGTGGTGCACCTACCCCAAAATGGTACCATTGGTTTTGACCCACGGCCATGTCCGTTCACACGTTCAAGGGGGTTCCGTTCTCTTCGCGCCCAAAGGTGGAGATCCAGGCTCTAGATCAACTGAGCCTAACTAACCATGGCTACGTCAATGCCAGCAGTAGGTGGCCCTCACACAATTCACACAAAGAAGAGTGGGGACGTCCATCTTCAAGCCACCACGAGCAGCTTGAGAAGCAACCGGCACATATCTGGCTCAACAATGATTCTGCTGCTGGACTGTGGGGTCTCCAAAAGAAAAGCGCCTCATGAGATGTGGCACTCCCGTCCATGGTTTCCACCCCCCAGCCAGCAACTCTCAGGGGTCTGAGGGGATGTACCGGTATATGTATATATATATATTATGTACATTATATAAATATAAATATGTCTATATATACAGCCACTATAGCCACCGTGTACAGGGTATACACCCCATCTTCCCCTGGGGGTTATGTCGACCCCGGATTAATGGACCCCAGTTCATGAAAAGGGAGGTGTCCCTGGAAGTGTGGGAATTCATCGCTTGACCTAATACACATCAGGTTGACTCATCTGGTGTCAACATTGGTGGGGGGCCAGGTCACTGTGACTGGGCGTGGGCCGCCTGAATTCCCAGCCAGCTGCGCCGCAGTCTTCCACACCTCAGCGTCCGGAGGGCATGGGCCTGCCCTGGCAAGGCGTCGTTTGCGCCCAGGCGAGGCCTTGTGCGTAGAGGAATGTTCCTTTTAGAGGCAAGCGGCACGTGTTCTGGGAAGCAACAAAAGGGGAGAAGGGGCACTAAGCAACTTGTGTTTTGTGAGCGTACCCTTTTCGGGTTGGTTTGAAAGGACAGCAAAAGCATCGTCATTTTGTGCGGTGCACCTTTTTGAACACACACACACTGGACTGATTCTACTCGTAGACGCTTCGACCGAGCTCTCGGCTGCAGGCAAGGTTGCAGCTGGCCGCCCATCTCCTGGTGCAGCAGCCGCCGGCCTCCGCTGGAAGCGCTCTGGGGTCTGCTGGTTTGGAGGTTTCGGCTGCTCTTGGGGATATCACCGGTCACGGGTTATTTTGGCATCCGGGCAAAAGAGGGGGGTTCGGGGTTCGCCAAAATGCATGAATCCCTACCCCGCCAAAAGAGGGGGGGGGCAGCGTGTTTGAAAGCAGGCTAAACCGCCAAAAGCAAGAAAACACCTCGAGTCTCAAGCCTTGAGTTGTCCACTAAAAAAGATACAGACTTGCCTATCCCACTCCTTGGCTGCATTCGGGAAAAAGACATATACAACTGGGTATTTAGCACTGCCTTGTTCGCTCAAGAGGTTAGACTCTCTTGCTTGCTGGAGGACTTGCTTCGTGCTTTGGAATGCCTAGGCCGCGGTGCCAAGACTTGGAATGGGTTTGTCTGTGGCTAGTGTCAAGCTGATGCTGGGTGGCAACGACAGTGCGTGTATTCGGCTGCAGGGAGCTTGGCCATCCCTGATGACAACTTTGACCAGCGTCACCTGCAATTACGAGAAAGATCATGCCATTTCGGTGTTTCTCCTAATAGGGATCCCCTAGAATGGTTGGTTCCTTTTGGTGGCCACTAAACAAATAAGAATAATAATAACAATAATAATAATAATAATAATAATAATAATAATAATAATAAAACGGGATCGCCCACCGTTTGAGAGACTCCCATTTTGCGTGCCACGCCCCATTGAGCGTTGTGCGTTTGAGGTGCACCGGCGACATTCCTTCGACTCAATGCTAGGTGCAAAGAATTGCTCATCGTTTCGGCTACCAGGCGATTCCATGGAAGCTCCCGAAAGGTCACTGATGAAAGCTGTGGGAGCTTCCACGGAATCGCCGGTCTGGCTCACTTCGCACCCAGAACTCACCCCAAATGTGCCTTGGGTCCTTCCCACGCAGGCGGGCAGGTCCCTGTCGCGTGCTTGGCATGCAGACCGTGGCGGTGATCGGGATGGTGCTCCTGCTTGTGATCATGGTGGTCCTGGTGATGCTGCTGGTGATTCTGGTGATCCTGGTGATCCTGGTGATCCTGGTGGTGGTGCTTGTTGTGGTGCTTGTTGTGGTCATGTTGGTCATGGTGGTCGTGGTGGTGCTTGTGGTGATCGTTGTGGTCGTGGTGGTGCTTGTTGTGGTCGTGCTGGTCGTGGTGGTTGTGCTCTTGATGCTTGTGGTTGTCCTGGTGGTGGCTGTGATGGTCATGCTGGTCCTTGTGGTGGCTGTGGTGGTCTTGGTGGTGGCTGTGGTGGTCTTGGTGGTGGCTGTGGTGGTGATCTTGAGCATCATGATGCTGGTGATGGTGGTCTTCGACCTGAGTCATTTCTTGGTGAGCCCCGGGCGCACTTGGTGAAAGAAACAGTCAATATCACGAAGATCTTGCGGAGCATTGAACCTATACAGGGACCACCCCCCAGCAACACAACACAAGCAAGGACCCCCCCAAACCAGAAACGAATACAAAGTTACCCGCAAGCATGTAGAAAAGTCCCTGGTGAGGCCTCTGGCTCTGGGTGCAGTGCTCCCATTGCTGCTGATGCCTCGGCCAGTGCAAATGGCTTTTCAGGGGGTGTCCTGAAATGAGATGAAATGAGATGAAATGAGCCATGGGGTCCATATTTCTTGTGCCCTTGTCGAATTTGGCGAGCTTCCTCCCCCCCCCAAAAAAAAAGAGAGGACATTTGATGAGTCAAAGTGCAAGGGGGCCATACACCCGTGGTGTCCACGATTTGACTCGCTGGTGCAATAGGTAGGGAATGACCGAGTCCGAGTCCGGATGTTGAGAATGAATCGCTGGAAACAATGGTTTTGCTTGGGGTCCCTGCTGCAAGTTAAGGGTGATGAAAAGCCCCCGGTTTCCTTCGACGCCCCAAGGGCCCGGTGGTTTTGGGGGTAGGGAGATCTGAAGGGACCGGTCGGAAGGGTGGGCCCCGAAAGAAAATGGACCCGTAGAAGTAGTCTAGGTAAAAACAAATAAATAAAAAATGGGTCGCCCTTCAATGGCGGTTGTAAGATAGGAAGGCACCCATCTCAAAACCATGGAGCAAGTGGAAGTCTGGTGGCTGAACAAACATGTAATTCCCGAACAAATGCGTTCCCGAATCTCGCGAGATACGTGCGGAGCGCACAAAGGTCGCACTATGCAGGCAGGATTTCTGTTCCCATGATATAAGAAACGGCAGAAGTTAACAAAATCCTCGGCATCCGGAAAGTTGCTAGGCAACTCCTGGGTGCTAACTCTATCTAAATATCGGCATGTGGCAAAAGAAAAAAACATGTTTTCCTCTAGGTCTCCTTGAGGGGAAAAAATCCCAAACCGAATTTTCGACGTCTTTGGCACCCATCCATGCCTCATGCATTAGTGTTCCGTGAAAAACAAAAAAACTCACACCATTGTGTTTAGCACCCAGGGCTTGCATGAATTAAAGTCGCTGTGCCTCTTCGGCGACGCGCCGGATGCCCGACCTTTCAAAAATCGAGCCGGCGAGTCGCAGGCGACTCGGGGGCACGAGCTCCCAAAGCTCAGGCTTTCAAAAGACGTTCAAAGGCCAAATCGCCAATCTTTGGTACTGGAACCTGGTTTTCGGCAAGGCCCAGGCGGCACCGAGTCAGTGAGATGATGTTCCTGCATTCCGGCTTTTTGCAAGGCTATAGCTTTCGAACGGAAAACAGAAAGATAGCATCCTGTCAACTTCTGGTTCAGAAGTCACCTCAGAAGGGAGTCTGCTCAATCTAGCGACTCCTCGTGCCGGCCCCTGGGTCTGAATTCACCAAAAAGATCCTCAACCCTGCGGGAGGCTTCAAGAAACAGGACAGTCGCGCGTGAGCTTGGCACGCCGCTGCGAAACCTGTGCCACATATTTGTATTCACAAATATTTACAGGATCCATTCACGAAGGCAAAGCTTTGCTTTGCAGAGCGATCCTTGTAGCTCGGCGTGGTCACAGGCCAAGAGGAAACCCAATGCCTCGCAGGGAGCAATTTGCAAGACTGGCAGAACAAACGCTCATCTGTTGATTTGAAAATCGAGGTGTTGACTTAAACGGCCCTTTTCAATTGAATTGACTGAATGAGGCATAGCAAATGGCATAGGGGAATTGGCATCGTGCACTGATTCGAATTCGACCCAACCCAGAGTCTCAAGTCACAGGAAAGGCATTTTGTCTGTTTGGGGTGATCCCACATGAGCTTGTCACAGTCACAGAATCCACAACGAAGAATACCAAGGCAGGCAAGAGTCCCCTTTTGACCCCCTAGTCCATCCGGCCGGTGTTGAAAAACATTCGGCCAAAGGTCAACGGCATAGGCAGTAGAAAACCGCTCGCATGTCTTCCGTTCGTCTGTGTCGTCGATGTGTCTGTCTGGCATTTCCCATAGGTATTGACAACCGTCAACCCATTGTCGGAAGCTTCGCGTTCCGCTTTCAAGCCATGTCATCGGGGGCCCGGCTTAGATGCTGCCGGGAATGTTTGAAGATTGGGCTCAGATACACATATTGTATGCATGCCTTGCGTTGCATATATAGATATATTATGTTGTGTGTGTGTGCACACGATAGAGCTTGAACGCATAAATGTACATGTCATTTACGTGGAGAACAATGATCCATGCATGTCTGGGCCATGTTAAACAGGTGTCTTGCCACTGGACCTGCAATCTTCCGGATTCACATGCCTCTCCTTAAAGAGCTGCAGTGTCAAAGACACACACCCAAAAGAAGGCCCTGACAAGCACATGTGCGGGTGAACTGTGTGGGGTCAGTGGTTCGGGGGTAGTAGAATCTCAACATCACCCCAACCAAAGGAAACTCACCTTAGAAAGGCCCAACAGGTGATGTTGAATCACTCAAAGGGGGCATACGGCTGTGAGAATTGAGAACGCATTTTTTTGCGGTGGTCTTGCACGGAAGCCTAAGGGACCATCGAGCCAGAGTCAGTATTCGTTGTCTTTTGGAAATTGGTGAGGAATTCACCTCCATTTCCAAATGACAACCTGGTCATTTCCCGAAACTATAGTAGATGATGGATCAGAGGGAAAATGATGAAACACAAGAAAGGCAAAAGGTCAAGAAGGTATGATAAGTCTGGCGATGTGTTCACATACCCTGGGACCCACGTCAAGCTCCCGCTGCAAATCGTGTCGGCCGGTCCCTCCCGGCTCCCCGCCTCCGCCGAGTTCAGTGCACGGGGGCCTCCTCAAATCGGTCGAGCACGCCGATGAGGAAGAGGGCCCGTGCATCTTCATACTGAAGCCTGGCGAGCATAGGCGTTTCTTTAATGGATTGCACTGGCGAGGACTGCCATATGTGTCCCTTCATCCCTTTCCCTGAAAAACCATATAAAGGAAGGGTATTTACCCTCCAAAACGCACACTCACACACACATACTGTACACATGTGCCTTCCATGGACATGGGTGGATAAGGGTGGGCTGGCTGTTGTGTAACATTTGGAGGCTCCCATGTACCCGCCAAATTGACCAGAGACTATGGCCAACATTGACCGAGCCCCATATGCACATGATAGTCTACGTATATGTAACATATTATATATACATATGATACATATATATATATATATACATGTTATCGGTGTTGCTCTAAATTTCATTGTCGTGAAACAGGCATTCTTCACAAAAACAAAAAAATCGCGAATCTTGTGGATTCGTCACCGTTCTCTTTTGATTGCTATAGTCCGAGAGTCGTAACTCTTAGAAAGTCGCAACTTGTTAGTACACACTAGAGCTACTTTAAAGACCAATCAATCGCACACTTGAAGCACGAACCCCCCGATCAAAAGTGTGTAACCTTACCAAGCTTTATCCCCTAAACTAGAAAACCGCCGAAGCAAACAAGGGGTTTAATTCCCATCGAACTAGGGTTTTACAAACAACACATCACTGCTGTTACATGTCGCCGACTTATAAGAAAACTTGCGCGAACATTGGACTTCCTGAGAACAAAGTCATCATGGAGCAATCGACATCTCGGTAGAAAAGCTTTATGAAACTGCCTTTTTGGAAGGAGTGCGAAGGATACCGCAGAGGAACTCTGCAGCGCTGGGACTAGCTGAGTGGGCCGGCCGTAGCCCAGACCACCCAACCCGCCAATGCTATGGTGGCTGATTATAAGTAGTAAAGGGATCCTTCGGCATGGGTGTTTCTCAAGGGGAACCCTGGTTCCATGCTCAAGGAAAACTAAAAGGAAACCTCTTACCCACCTACAAAAAAAAAGGAGGAAACCCACATTTGTAAGAAACAAAACAACTGGAGAGCTTCTTTCTGCCGACTCGCGCCTGCAAATTCCCAGGACGAAGCCCACCACGAGGCCGTTCCAAAGAAGTCGAGGGAGCCAGCCAGCCATCAGCCCCGTCAGGCCGTCGCGCTCCCGGATGTCCCAAAGAGTCTTGGGGAAGTTCTGCACTCCTGCGCAGGCTTCTAGGGGACACTTCCCCATTCTTTCCAAGGGGGATCCTGCTTCTCAGAAAACCATCAGAACCCCAGGTGAAACAGCTGGTTTTGTGAAAAGAACGATGGAATCAACCCCTAGAAGGCTGTTGGACATGGAATCCACGAATCTGTGATACAACAAACAGGGCTTCCCAAAGACGAACCCCCCATAAAAGGGGGATATTATCATGTATCACAGAAGTGGGGATAAACCCCCTTGATCCCACAACCCAGCTCCTACGCATCTTTAGCTCACAAGCTTAACCACAAACATAGCACCTGCAGGAGTGTAAAGGCGATGAGTTTAACCCTGCGCCAGTGGCCGTGTTGGGAGGGAGGGTAACCTTTGGGGAACTTCAAAGGAAAAGTGGGCCAAAAAGGGAAAACCACAAGGTTAGGGCGGCTTTGAAGAACTGAGGTTGGGAACTGTCTAACCTTTGACTTTAGGGGAAAATTATGCTTGTGGAATATAAGCCTTCGAATCCCACGAAGTACTCCAAAGATCTCCAGAGCGCCTTCGAAGCGGACGTCTCGACTCTCACCATGTGTGCTCCCCTTCAGACCCTCCGGTCTTTGAGACCGAAGGAAACAGCCGCCGTTCCAATCGACCCAGTCCTTCTCGTTGCAGGATGAGCTGAGTGCGTGCCACATCCAGGGGCGTGCACCTGAGAGAAACACGAAACACGGCACCAAAAGAAAGGCGGCGTGTTCCGGGTGCGACTTCTTTTTGAGGATACCCCTTGTTGGGGTGTTTTGTTTTGTAAGGAAAACCGAAGGAAACCCACATTGATTGGGTGGGTTTGTTTAGGAAAACCGAAGGAAAACCACAGTTGGCTTCTTGTTTTGGGAGGGCCCAACTCTCCCAAATTCAAGTAGAGGGCACCCGGACCCCGAGGTTGGGTTCATGAGAACCTTTGTTGGCGTCCCGAGCCGAGCCCTTCTTTTTGGCAGCACAACATGCTGCATTGGGAAATTCGATAGAGGGTACTGTATGCAGGGCAGAAACCATTCGTACGGGAGGGGGTGTCAAATCGTGAAGGAAACTCCAATGCTCTCAGAGCGCTGTCCCTGGCACCTTCAGCATGCGTGAGCCACCTATCCTAATTAGGATCTGGATGTTACTCTGATGTTGGCGCAAGTGCCCTGGCATAGTGTGTGCGTGTGTGTGTGCGTGTGTGTGTGTGTGTGTGTGTGTGTGTGTGTGTGTGTGTGTGTGTGTGTGTGTGTGTGTGTGTGTGTGTGTGTGTGTGTGTGTGTGTGTGTGTGTGTGTGTGTGTGTGTGTGTGTGTGTGTGTGTGTGTGTGTGTGTGTGTGTGTGTGTGTGTGTGTGTGTGTGTGTGTGTGTGTGTGTGTGTGTGTGTGTGTGTGTGTGTGTGTGTGTGTGTGTGTGTGTGTGTGTGTGTGTGTGTGTGTGTGTGTGTGTGTGTGTGTGTGTGTGTGTGTGTGTGTGTGTGTGTGTGTGTGTGTGTGTGTGTGTGTGTGTGTGTGTGTGTGTGTGTGTGTGTGTGTGTGTGTGTGTGTGTGTGTGTGTGTGTGTGTGTGTGTGTGTGTGTGTGTGTGTGTGTGTGTGTGTGTGTGTGTGTGTGTGTGTGTGTGTGTGTGTGTGTGTGTGTGTGTGTGTGTGTGTGTGTGTGTGTGTGTGTGTGTGTGTGTGTGTGTGTGTGTGTGTGTGTGTGTGTGTGTGTGTGTGTGTGTATGCAAGCTAACCAAACGGCACCACACACAAGCACGCGATAACTCTTTTATCCGAGCAGTGTGTTGGTGCCAGGGACTCATCTTCCCCTGTCAGATGACAAAGGCTGGGTGGGCCCCATGGGCCACCCAACTCACAATCTCAAAAACTGAAGAACGGGTGTGCAGACTGATAGCGCCCGCCCCTGAGCCGGGGCCCGTGGCACCCAGGCCACAGGGGGGTCTGCCACCAGGGGAAGTGAGTCACCCACCGGCTCCGGTCACGGGAGCATGGGTGGGCCCACGCTAAGATCAAATGCATCTCCATTCAGGAGACGCGGGAGAAAAACGAACTCCTCGCAGAGTTCCTGTTTGGGGACCCTGTGCAAAGGGTCGAACCCAGAGAAATCTGGGTGCGTCAGCTCATCGGCCCATTGATTGAATTCTCGGGGCACGTGGTTGGCCGCCAGCAGCCATGGGTGTGGAGCAGGAAGACCAGCTCCATCAGGATCGCCGCCGTGTAGGGCTTCTTGGATCCAAGGTTGAGCATCGCCATGACGTTGCCCTGATTGTCACTGCCCACCGGGAGTCGGACCCGGGAGGACAGAGGGCCTTGGTGCGTGAGGATCATGTTACAGAGGAAGAGCGTGCCCAGCATCTCCAGAGCCGCAATCCTCCGCTTGGGATCCCCATTCTTGAATGCCCAAGGGTACCCCATCTGCTCGTGGAACCAGTACACCTCCTTCTTTTCCGGCTCCACTTTGTTGGAGCACCAACCTCCCACAAATGCCAGTCCTTCGTCCGAGGCGCTAGCATCGCTGCAACCCCACCAAGAGGACTTCGGCAAGTAAGGGGAGTACTGGACGAAGGGCGTGTTGAAGAGGAACCGCAGCATGAACGCCAGCATCCTGACCACCTTGGGGGGTTTCCCCACCGTGGTGGTGGCCATCTTCCAGGCCCAAAGTGGCTGGAGCATCGACTTCGCCAGCGGACATGCAGCCGTCGCCCATTGGATGCGACCCAGGGCCTTCTCGATGTCCTTTGAGTGCATCGCCTGCCCTTCCACCATGGTCTGCAAAACCTCCATAACCAGGATGTGTTTGTTGGCGGCCATGAGAACCTGCGGGATGTTCGGGTGGACCACGAAACCCAGCCACGTGTTAACCTCCGCCAAATGCGTCTTCTTCCAGCTAAGCGGGGTGCCCAAGGCCAGGAGTGTTGCCAGCAGCGCCACCGCCAAGTTTACTGCCCCCTCGCTTCGAAGCAGCCACAGGAAGTCATCGACAAAGACGAAGTTCCAATCCACTTGAGGGAAAAGTGCGTAGAGGACCCTGAGTAGAAGGGCTGCCAGGCGTCCCCAGTAGGATTGGGCACTGGCCATGCCATATGTGCCTACCTTGTTCACCCACCATTCTTCCCCCAGTGAGGCCACCTGGAACCGCCAGTCCTTCCTGAGGACCTTCACTCTCCGGTGGGCCTTGGTGACGTCCGCCTTGAGCAGCACCCACCTGGTGCCCGGCTCCGGCCATAGCCAGCCCCCAGGTGGAGGTTTGACGACCTCCCTCTCGGGGCCAGGGGCACCCTGAGAGGGGGGTCCCTCCGCAGCTGCCGCATGTAGCCAATGAAGAGCTTGTACCCCATCCAGCACCGTCGGAGCCGTCGTCCTTTCCACCGTCTGGTTCCTGATGGTGTCGTTGGCCCCGCCCACCGAGCCATCGTAGATGGTGCGGATCTTGTCCCCCTCGTCGATGCCCGCTAGGGGGCCGGGACAAAGGTCCTCGATTTCGCAGCCACAGCGCGATGCTGCCTCCACCTTACTGAAGGGGCCCTCTACCATGCCCATGGGGACCTCCTCCAGGAATGTGCCCCGGATGAGCTCGCTGAAGTGATCCGCCGAGGGGTAGTTACCCCTGCCCGTTGGGTGAGGGAGTTCCTGGAACTCCGGCTCCTCCCCTTTCAGCTCCTTCTTGAGTGGCCAGATGCCCGGCGAGGTCAGGGGTGGGTCCGTGACCCCCAGTGGGACCCCTTGCTCCAGATCGCGGGGAAACGCTGTGCAAGATGTCCAGGAAGAAGGGTTGGCCGTCAGCTGGTCGGCCTGCCCCCGACGCCAGAATCTCCCAGCAGGTCCTCCGGGAAGGGATGTGACCCGTCCCCCAACGAGAGCGACTCCTGGAGCTTGTCCCCCCATGGCGAAGTGAGGACACAGATCTTGGCCCCCATCGCTGCTGCTTTGGACAGTGGCCGGGTCCATGGGGCCAACCGTCCCAATGAGGGCTTTCCCCCTCCGTCCCTTAGGGGGCGCTGTTTGAAGGCCATCTGGAGGTACATGACCTTGTCGGAGAGATTTGGGTCGTGCGTGATCGGCAGGATGGTGGGCCGATCCGAGATTTCCATGCCATGGTGTGCCCATGGCTCAGGGGAAAGAGTTCCCCCCCAAAGTTCGTCCGTTTCACCAGTCCTCTGTGTCGGTGTCCGGGGCTCCGGATTGTCCGAGGCCGAGACCGGAAGTGAGCCCAAGGTTAAGCCCGCCAACGCTTGTTGGCCAGCCTTCAGCCTCCGGGACTGGCGCTTGTTGTCCCCTGGCGTGCTGGGAGAAGGTTCCCTCTGCCGCCTCGGGGGGGTCGTTGGGTTCGCCTGGGGCACCGTGCCCCCCGGCCTCAGCGCCTCCAGGACGGGTCCCGCTCGGCAAAGGATGGCCGCTGCGAGACCCTGCATCATCTGCTCTGGGTACCGGCTGAGGTCACTGGAGTTGAGCTTTTCCCCCTGGGGTGAGCCCCGTGGTTGCAACGCAGATCATGCCAATGGTGAAGGGGAAGGTCCGTTGACAATGTCGTGGACTTCACAACCACCTGGCCCAGGCGGCACTCGTCAAACTTGATGAGGGAGTGGTGGAGTGCGTTCGCCCATTGAATGTAGGCCCGTGTGACCCAGATCGATGAGCACCTCGTGCGCTCGGGCTCTTGCTGCACTCCATTGGGTCTATTGGGTGCTCCAAGAAGGAGGAGCCCACCTGCGGGACCGTTAGCTGACCCAGCCCCTTGTAGGCCAGCGAGGTCAGGTACATCTGTCGGAGCATGAGCACGCTGTCATTGTCCGTGTCCTCCATAACCCGGGGCTCCAGGTCCTCTAAGCCCCACAGGGTCTGCTCTGCTCTGCCCCTCACCGGCGGCGGGCCACCCGGTTTGGGGAACCATCTGAGGATGCTCCACGTCCTGCAGTTGGGGCCGCCCCCCACCAAGGCGACCTTGCCCGCCATGGCCATGGAGCACATCGTAGAGTAAGGCTCATCTCCCAGCATGTCCTGTCCAAGGTCTCCACCCTTTCGCCTGATGTCCACCGCCCAAATGTACTCCGAGAAGGCCGGGTTGTAGGCATGGAGGTAAGCATCCAGGGCCCCCGCATCATCCTTCCCGGCGTACAGCAGGATGAGGGACGGCTTTGACGACTCCGGCACCGGGCGTGGCGTCCACCTTAGTCTGAGCCTCAGTCTTTCCGGGATGTCCTGCATCCATGGGAAGGTGGGGCTTGCATTCCGTGTGTCCTTTGTCTGACCCTCCCGTCATCTGTCCCTGGGCTTGCTGCTTGCCCCGGCGGTTCTTCCCGCCCTTGGAACGCCCCTTGCCGGGCGGATCCTCACCTCTGGGTCTCTCTGGGGGGTCTTCCCACTGCCTCGGTGGGTGCGGGGGAAAGGGATGCTTCCGCCCTTCTGGAGTGCCCTGGCTGGGTCCGCTCCTCTTCCTCGGTGGAGGGGCTTCCGGGGCCGGTGGCACCCTGGAGAAGTCCCCTCCACCTGAGGCCGTCCTGGCCTCCCCCGCTCTGTCTGCCTTCCGCTGTGGCTCTGGTGGGGTTGGCTCTCCCCCTCTGTGTGCACTCTCGCACTGGTGGCCTGTGGTCCCAACGGAGACCAGGAAGCCACGGGGCCTATGGCACCCTGAGTGGCCTCCTGTCACTTGGGAAGGTGAGGGCATGCCTGTGGCACATGCTTCGATGGGGG